TGAGGACATCCATGAGGCCTTGTGTGTTCAGTCTATTGGGAGTGGGTTGTTGTTGTTTCATGTTTTAAGAAGAGTATTTTTTCTGTGTTTGCAACCTCACAGTGAATGTTACTTGTTCTGGAATCCTGAACTGTCAGCTCGTGAGAGCTTCAAACAGACTCCAGAGTAGGGAGCCTGTTATTTTCTTTCCCAAGTCCCCATAATTCCGTCTGCCTTTCTGTATTGTTTCTATACACTGCCTCAATAACTTTGCTACCACTACCCTTAAGCGTTAATCAAAATGGGCCTGACAATCACCTAAATAGGAAAACACCTTCGAGAAGCTGTTCCAGAAAGTTGAAGCAAACAATCCCTTCCTAAACATGTAGGTCAGCACAGTGGTCTCCCTGGCTGTTGTCACCTAACTTCTGATAGAGCCTCCCTTTACAGTGGCCTTTTGGCCTTTGTCCATGCTTACTATTTGGAATGTTTCACACTCTTCAGTAATAAATTATATCCATCTTCTACATTATGCTCTATACACATAGTGGGGAGGGGACATATAATTTCTTTACATGGAGACCCAGAGCTAAGAGGAAGCTGGGAGGAGGTTATGGTAACAGCTTCCCATCTCTTATTTCATCCATATATTTTGCCTTTTTAAAAGCTTGCCTTTTTAAAAGCTTCAAAAAATAAATATTGTATACAATGTTGAATTAGCACCCATTTCTCTAATTTGACCTGTATTATTTTCCAGCACAAGTAAGTACTTACCCAATATAACTTCTAAGTGTGCGTTTTTGCAGCATTTTTCTGTTGCTATCATCATTTTGGCACAGTCTTTGTCCACGTTATTAGAATTCAAGTAGCAATGAATCCCGAGGAGACCGTTCCTGTGGATTCAGTAGTACAGCCTTCAGAGATAGGTTGCCTGAGCAAAAGCTACACTACACAGTACGTACCCAGCCTAGGAAACATCGGGTAAGTACCATTCTTTACCCATGTGCTTGTTATTGTTAGGATGCAGAAAGCAATCATGCTTGTTTTAAACAGTAACTATAGCAGCTATTAGATATTATTGTGAGAAAGCCTTTGTTCATAAACAGTGAGGTATTTTAAAGATAAACTGAGTGATAAGCTTGTTTTCTTTGATTCTCTTTTCTTTAATCATTAAAACACATTTTAAAGGAAAAACATTTGATAAGTTTCTGGTCAATTGGCAGAGCTTTCCTGAATTCTGAGATGTGCATCTGCCCACATGCTATTAGATACCAGGGGTGGGCGATGATTTAGTAGTGTGAGATAGCCGAACAGAAGTTGCAGTCTGGTTAGATTCTCACGGGTGTTGAAATTAAGGCATTTCTTCATAAGTTCAATCTCAAAGCAGGCTTCTTCCTTTCATGGTTTTCATAAGTTCCTTGAATGGGAATTACCCACATATTAAGAGCTGGCAGCCAAATTGCAAATGCCACTCACTTTATTAGAAATTAGTTGCTAAAACTTTTGAGCACACAAATAATTCATAAATATTTTTCTCTCCTAATTGTTCTGATGTATATGGTCTATTGCTAATATGCAAGTTAGTCACGGTCTTCACCTTGTAAGTTTCAAGTTGCTTGGGGAACATTAGTAAGATGAGTTTACTTGCTTTCATATGTGTACACATATATCATTTTAAACCTCAATTCTGTGTATAAAAATCATGTACGTTTTGTTCTTCTGAGTCAGGCTTATTTTACTTAACTATGTCTCATAGAACAGTGGGACTTAAAGGCGCAGAGCATTTCTGGTTGCATTTCTGGGATAGTTTCCCAGAGGCATAACAAAATTATTATTCCCTGTGGCCTTTTGCCCTACATTCACTCATAGCAAATTCTTGGTTCCGTGGCTACAACTTTGTTGTTTCCTTTCTTTTCAAACCAATATCTTGTGTTAAATTTTGCAAATAATTCACCTCTTTAGACTTTAATTCATATCTCTGAACAACCTTTTTTTGCATTGAGATATTCTAGTTAGTCCCAGGTACATACA